AATATTTGAAACTATAACAATGACTAAGTATGTTTTAGGTCCTGTTTTAAGCTATGTATAGACTTTCTCCATCACTTTTTATTACTTCTTTGTAGAATCCCAGAGCTGAAGGGACTCAGCCATCACCTGCTCTGGCCTCTTCCTTTTACACAAGCCACTTTCTTTAGGATTCCTTCCTTCCTTCTTTCTTTCATTGGTGTTGTCAACAATTGGGTGCTGCAGCCGGAGATACAACAGTGAGTAGAACAGAGCTCTTGTCTTCACTGAGCTCACAGCCAAGTTGCGGAAATAGATAAGTAAGGAAGCAATTTTAATACTATATGAAATATGCATATTAGGGGACTTAACCTGGGTTGGGGGGCATTAGAGAAGGAGTCCTGAAGGAGGCAATGAGTGTGCTGATATCTAAAGGTTTGAGTAGAGCTTGAGTAGATGAAAAGTTGGAGTGCAAAGAGGGCTCCAGGAAGAAGAAATAGATACACAAAGATAGGGAAGATATAAGGAGATCCTCGTGCTAGGGAATAGCACTAGTGATTTGTCAGGGCCAGGACTTGAACTGAGGGATGGTAGAAGATCACACGGACCATCCCTTGGAGGGCATCATGTATGATATCAGGGAGTTTGGGCTTTATCTGCGGGGCAATGGGGAGACATTGAAGGGTTCTAAGGAAGGAAGTCATACAGTTAGATCTGCGTATTGGGAAGCTTACCCTTGGCTGCAGCATGGAGACCAAATGGAAGGAGGAGCAAATGTGGAGTCAAGGAGACTGTGGCTGTTAGTCAGAGGCCCCTTTTGTGCTGAGGACTACACTTGTGTGAAATTCACAACAAAGATCCCCTGCTGAACATTGGCCCATCTCAGGCTTGGCAAGCCCAGAGTTAAGGACCCCATTAATTCTTGGGCAGAGCTTCAGAAGTCAGCTAAAGGCCTTAGGATTAGGGTTGTCAAGTGACCTCCAGGGTCTGAGCTCTCCTACTCTCTTATCTCCTTTCCAGGGTTCTGCCCCAGAAGGTGCAGCTATTGCTTCAGCAGTAGTGGCTCCTTCTGAATCTTCCCAGCCATGACCAGAAGGCAGCTCAGGTCAAAGGCAAGGACAGGGTTTCTCTCTCGCTCTCTTGTGCTCAGGGCCATCTCATACTTTGTTGTCTGTGTTGCTAAGGTGGTGTCCATTTCTGCAGTATGAAATTTCTCAAAAAACCCCTTCACTTTCCACCCCCAAAGCTTCCCATCCTAACCCTTGTTTTCAATTTGCTTATTTTCCAATTCCTGCTATTTGAACCATGCACAACCTCACCCTTTGAAGAAAAAGGTTCTCAACATTTTTCATATAAATGTCATAACAATTTGTGAACACGAGAAAAATGTGCAGTACTTTTTTAAAAGATACAGAATTTTATATTCTCTCCAGTCTTTTAAGTTTTAATTTTAAGAATTCAGTCATCTTTGGAGTATGAAAGGAATATTTTCTCCTGCAGAGTCCTTTTAAAAAGCAAAAACTTATTGTTCGAAACTCACTTAACCACTCTGATATTTTGTAGTTGGTTTTAAAATATCTTTTTATTCTGTTTACACTCAATGAAAACACACTGGCAGATACAGAAAAGCATGAAGAGGAGAAATAAAATCATTAGTCACCCCATTGCCAAATAAAACATTTTAGTAGATTCCTTATATATATTTTTGTTCTATGCAATAATTTTTCTTTTTACAAAATTAATGCCATACTCTTTTACATTCTGCTTTTTAAAGATTCTACTATTTTCATTTAGTTAGCAATGCTATGCAAACAGGATTTTAAATACTTGCATAATAGGCCATGGTTTAACTATACCAATATCTCATTACTGGGTATACACCCAGGGGAATATAAAGCATTCTACCATAAAGACACATGTATGTGAATGTTCATTGCAGCACTGTTCACAATAGCAAAAGCTTGGAATCAGCCTAAATGCCCATTAATGACAGACTGGATAAAGAAAATGTGGTACATATATGCCATGAAATATTATGCAGCCATAAAAAAAAAATGAGATCATGTCTTGTGCAGGAACATGGATGGAGCTGGAGGCTATTATCCTTATCAAACTCACACAGAAACAGAAAACCAAATACCACATGTTCTCACTCATAAGCGGGAGCTAAATGATAAGAACTTATGAACACAAAGAAGGAAACAACAGACACTGGGGTCCACTTGATGATGGAGAGTGGGAGGAGGGAGAGGAGCAGAAAAGATAACTATTGGGTACTGGGCTTAATGCCTGGGCGATGTAATGTTATGTACAACAAACCCCCTTGATACGTGTTTATTTATATAACAAACCTTCACATGTACCCCCAAACCTAAAATAAAAGGAAAATATTTAGATCCCATTAAATAAATAAATAAATATCTCAACAATCAGTAACTGCTGGCAACTTGGACAATTTAGTATTAAGTAGGCATTTGTGTTATTTATTAAATTATTATATACTCATGTGCACAATATTTATTATTTTATATAAAAATACAAACCAAAAATGGCCCACAGTTTTACCCGCTGGATAACCCTGATTGACATTTACAAATAATAAAACCCACATGGTTAGAAAATTCAAGCAGAAATCTACACAAATGTACAAAGATGAAAACCAGAAACTCCCTCTTCCTTCTGCCTCCCAGACCTTACCCCCACAAAAGTTAAAATTTCTTGTGATTTTTTCCAGATATATTTATCTATTTATAGATGTTTCAAATTTTATGCAAGAGATTATATGCTACACACTGTTCTGTACCTTATTTTTTTCTCCTAAGAGTCATTCTTGGTGATCTTTGTGCAGCATTTCCTAAATTGGTGCATCCCTAGCTCAATAAATGCATCTTTAATTCCAGCTCTGTTAGTCAGTCATGCCTGCAGTATCATTGGCTCTTTTGCTGGGTTCTTAGATGTGAGATAAACAGATATGCCACCCGCATGTCTCTGGTCTCCACCATCCCTATTTCTCCAGCTTGTAACCCCTACCCGCATGCCAGTAGGACCCTGACCCTCAGTTTCCACCATCCCTATTTCTCCAGCTCGTAACCCCTACCTGCATTCCAGTAGGACCCTGACCCTCAGTCTCCCTAGTCTTTTTGGTTATATGAGGAGGCCCCAGGGATTGTGACGTAAGTGCACAGCCACTTTTCCTTTGGTCTCTATTTCTCATGCCCAAAGTCCTTTGAAATTGCTGCCTACTACTGCCCCAAGGCTAATGTCCTCCTCTTATGCCTGGGGCACTGTCTCCCAGGGTGGGCCAGTGGATCTAATTAGTTTGCTCAGAACTGCTAACGATTTGCGTACATATGTGTACACAAATGTATCCATGGGTGTATTCAAAGTAATAACATAAGTCTCTCCAAGAGTCAGTCCTCTCAGCTGCTGGCTTCTTCCACATAACCAGTATCATTCTAACATATAACCATCCATATTCTTACTCATGCGTACTTTTGTGTGAACATTTGTCTGGAAGGGAGGAAGCCTTTGTTTTGACTGGAGATGATTATGCCTTCTGAATTGCTGTGTTTTCCACGGAGTGGCAATGAATTTTCATAGTGGCAGCTGGATGGGAACACATTACATTTTGATAAAGAAAAAGAATAATTATTTGACCTATAACCTGAGTTTCTAAGTTGTCTATCTCAAGGCAGAATTAAAAAAAAAATGAATGAAGGAAAGATGGAACGAAGGATGGAAGGAGGCTGGAAGGAAGGAAGGAAAGAAGGAAAAATTCCATCTTTGTTAGGCCACAAAGCTTACGGGTTTCCATTGTAGTGGTTGAAAAAATTAGCTAAGGCCATGTCCTCCAGATTGAAGGTCAGCAGAGCCATTGTCTTTGCATCCAGAGCTATTTTTGAGGCTGCTACTGCTGCCACCTCTGTTGTCGTTGTAATCATCTCCTCCTCCTCATTACTACTGGGATTACTATTATTATTTGGATTACCATTCCAGATACATGCTAAGGGAATCAAGTAATCAAAAAATTTGTTTGAGTGTACATTGTGAAACATGCTTTTGGAATGATTTCCTGAGAAAGTTGGGTGCAGAATGCAAATATTTTGAATGGACTTATCTTAGAGTTGTACTGCTTTTTTTCCTTGTCATTTTAAAACCCTTAATACGAATAAATTGTTTGTATAGTGGGGCTTTTTTAAATCCTTAGATAAGAAATACATGGTTTGAAAGCAGAGAATAAAAACATGAATGATAATGTCCTCAATGCCCAGGAGAAAGTCCTTGCTGCTGCTCCTGGACAGGCATTATAATCGACTATTTGGTGTGTTTATTTCAGGCTGCAGATAGTGGATAAAAGTGGCTGGTTGGTTGCCAGCACATGACTTAGTTGCCAAATGGAGTGTTTAGTACTTGTTGCATTTGACTTATATCACAAGTTCTTCCCATTAACAGTCTGCTGGTGATAACCTACTTGGCTTTTCATGTGGTTACTTTGAAACAGCCACTTGACAACATTTGGCATATCACAAACTTTAATACTGAAATAAAGGAGTGAGTGAATGGCTACATGGGATCTGCCATATACTGATATGGTGCTTGGTGCAGAATGGGCTCCCCAGGAAATGTCTGTTTAATCAATGAATTCATCTTGCATAATATTTCCCTGGTTCAGTGTACCAAGTTCAAGCCTATTGACCTGAGACCTAAAAGGCTGGTAAAAGGGATAGAAACACAAAGAAATAATAGTGCTTACATATGTGTCAGAAGGGCTTACCTTTGTATGGAGGGAGATGCTCTGCTCCTCTGTATCACCATTAAATACAGAGAGTTGAACTATATGGAGAAATGAAGATGTCATCAAAATGGCCTTGAGTCTAACCTCAAAGCATAACCTCATAATACTGACAATTTCTATCATTTCAGGTATTTTTTTTTCTTCTTTTTTTATTGATAGATCCACTTCAGGAATTTTGGCCCAGGATATGTAATCAAATAAGCACTAAAATACTGATTTTTATTTTTAGATTGAAAACTTGCAAGAACAACTTAGGGATAAAGACAAGCAACTGACCAACCTGAAAGACAGAGTGAAGTCCTTGCAGACAGATTCCAGTAATACAGATACTGCACTGGCTACGCTAGAGGAAGCTCTGTCAGAGAAGGTGAGCATGCACTCAAAAACTGGGGAATCAGGATGTGGAGAAACAGAGTTGGGGAAAGTTAATCCAAATGCATTTAAATGTGCCTGCTTTTCTTCTTTTGCTAACACTACCTTTAGTCCCAGCTGGTCCTTGTTCTCCCCACACAAGCCCTCTTCAGTGGACTTGGCACACTACAGCCAAGGGCATTTTCTGAAATGCAAATCTGATTACATCACCCTTGGCTGTCCTTAAAAACCTTCACTAGCTTGCCGTTGCTCTTATGGTGACATAAATTGAAGTCCTCTACCTGGCCCCCAGGGTCCCGTCTCCCATCTGATCTGGCAAGCCCCCACACTGTGTGCCTGCTCCCTCCCTCATTCTTTCTTTCATTTCCAGCCTCATCCCCCATCTCTCTTTTTCCAGGTTCTCTGTGCCCTACTTATGTGGGGCTTCCAGATTTTCAAGTGTACCGTACTCCTTCCTGCCTCAGACTCTTTGTAGATGCTATTCCCCAGCTGAGGATATTCCTCACTCTCTGCAAATTTAATTCCTCCTCTTCTGAGAGGTCAGCTTCATGAGAAGTTGTATTGTGCAGTAGTCAAGAATGTGGACTTTGGAGCTAGACTGCCTGGGATCAAATCCTAGGTCTGATACTTTCTACTGTGGACAAATTACTTAACCTCTCAGTTTCTTCATTTGTAAAAGGGGGTAATAATAGCAACCTCAGTGGATTATGTTGAGGAGAAAATGCAGGAAAATATGGAATGTGTTTAGAATAGGAGATGTAATGTTATCACTATTATTATTATTATTTGATCATTTCCTTAGGGACACCTCCTAGGTATCCCCGTTATGTCTCAAGAACACCATAAACTCCCCAGAGCTCATGTCACATTCTTAATTATCCATTTATCTGTTTTTAATTTCTCTTCTCTGCTAGACTCCAAACCCAAGAAACATATCCTATGTGTGTGTTATCTTTCCATTCCCTGTGCCCAGCATAACCTGCATCGGGGATGCTCACTCAGTAGTGGATACTGGTTGCGTGAGCTGCCACCATGTGACAAGTCCTCTTTTGAGCCCTGGGATGCAGCAGAGAAGAAAATAGGTGAAAATCCTGGCTCTAACAGAGTTTAGACTGTAGTGGAGGTGATGGGGAGACAGATAATAAATAAGTGACATACCTAGGATTTCAGAGGGTAATATTTTCTATAAAAGAAAAGAAGGCAGGGAGGGGTACAGGGAGTGCTGGAGTAGAATGGCCAGGTAGGAGCTTGCTGAGAAGGTGACATTTAAGGAAACACTTGAAAGTGAGTGGTGAGCCAGGAGTCCTTGTGGAGGGAGAATGTCCTGGCAGAGGGAAGAGCAAGTACAAGGGTATGGGGGAGAGGAAGGGCAGCAGATTTCATAGGCCCTTGTGAGACAAGATTTTTAAAAATTGGCTTTTACTTTGAAGGGGATGGGATGCCATCCTGAGGGTTTCCTTCTGACTTACATTTAAAGGGATTAATTTGAATAAAAGAATGAATGAATAAAATCCTTTAGGCAAATAGCTCATTCTGATGTTTACTTACTTTTAAAATGATTTCTCATCCATTTCATTCTGGCTAAATGAGTTCATTCATTCTCTGGGCACCTATCGCAGGTATCAGACCCTGGAGTTGAGTTTGCATATGCTCTCTCCTCTCCTCCAACACTTCCTGAATGTAAGAGCCAGTGCAGGTACAGTTCTCTAGGAATCCTCAGGAGGGACAGCTTGTTTGTTGGTTGAACATGGACTGTGCTGGCACAGTTTTTAGGCCCATGTTATTGGCATTATTCTCAAATTTAGCTTGAAACCAAGAAAAGAAATGTTAACTTTTAAAGTGTAGGAGTAGATTTTATTATGTTCTTTTTCTTTGTCTTTCTCATCCTTTTTGATTCTGCAGCACTTTGCAGGATTTGTCCATACATGCATAGGATGTTGTGGGGGTTTTCCTCTGGGATGCCCTACTAGAGTAGTAGATTATCTCCTATATTCCCTATTATCACAGCCTATAAACTCTGGGGTATTGAAGTAATTGGAAGGAGACCTAGGGGCCAGTCCCACCTATGCCACTAATTAACTGGGGAGCCATTAATTAACTGAGTGAGCCTGTCAAGTAATTTTCTCTCTCAGGGCCTCAAATTTCCCATATGATGAATGGGGGAATTAGATTAAATGCCCATGGGTTTCCTAAGCCAGTGTATCCTAAAGAAGGCTTCTCTTCTGTTACTACAGAATTACCAGGAAGTCTCTGTTGAAAGTCTCTATTATTAGGCCCCATCTCTACCTACCAAATCAGAACCTCATAGGGCCTGGGAATCTGCACTTTAGCAAGTTCCCCAGGTCATCATGATGTAAACTGTAGTCTGAGAACCAAGGCTCTGTGATAAAAGCCTGAAAGCTACAAAAAGATGGGTAAGCATATTTTTGGAGTTAAATTAAAAAGTTATTTAAAAAATAAAAGAAAAAAAAATGAAGCTACAAAAAGACCCATGAGTCTAGAGCTAGTCTTCATGGTCCTAAATGTAAAACCCAGAACTATAAAAACTCTAGAAGAAAATCTAGGCAATACCATTCAGGACATAGGTATAGGCAAATATTTCATGATGAAAATGTCAAAAGCAATTGCAACAAAAGCAAAAATTGACAACTAGGATCTAATTAGACTCAAGAGCTTTTGCACAGCAAAAGAAACTATCATCGGAGTGAACAGATAACCTACAGAATGGGAGAAAAATTTTTGCAATCTATCCATCTGACAAAGGTCTAATATCCAGAATCTGCAAAGAACTTAAACAAGTTTACCGGAAACAAACAACCCCATTAAAAAGTGGTCAAAAGACATGAACAGAAACTTCTCAAAAGAAGATATTTATGCAGCCAACAAACATGTGAAAAAGAGCTCAACATCACTGATCATTAGAGAAATGAAAATCAAAACCACAGTGAGACACCATCTCACACCAGTCATAATAGCAATTATTAAAAAGTCAAGAAACAACAGATGCTGGCGAGGCTGGGGAGAAAAAGGAATGCTTTTACGCTGTTGGTGGGAATCTAAATTAGTTCAACCATTGCAGAAGACAATGTGGCAATTCCTCAAAGACCTAGAACAATAAAGAACATTACTGGGTATATACCCAAAGGAATATAAATCATTCTATTATAAAGATACATGTGTGTGTTATGTTCATTGCAGTACTATTCACAATAGCAAAAACATGGAACAAACCCAAATGTCCATCAATGATAGACTGAATAAAGAAAATGTGGTACATATATACCATGGAATATTATGCAGCCATGAGATCATGTTATTTGCAGGGACATGGATGGAGCTGGAAGCCATTAAACTCAGCAAACTAATGCAGGAACAGAAAACCAAACACTGCCTGTTCTCACTTATAAGTAGGAGCTGAACAATGCGAACACATGGACACAGGAAAGGGAACAACACACACTGGGGCCTGTTGGGAGGGGTGGGAGGGAGAGAGAGTGTTAGGAAAAATAGCTAATGCATGCTGGGCTTAATAGCTAGGTTATGGGTTGATAGGTGCAGCAAACCACCATTACACACATTTACCTATGTAACAAGCCTACACGTCATGCACACCTATCCCAGAATGTAAATAAAATATAGCAAACAACTAAAATGAGGCTTTTGTAAGAAAAAAATGTAGAGTTTGACATTGAGTTACCTTATTTGACATCATATTTAGTATGCATTTCCAAATTAATTTTGCTCAAAAAATCCATGGAGGAGAAACAGTTGCTGGTTAATAAACTTATAAATCCTGTAATAATTTAAAACATTGAAAGATTATAACTTCAGGATTGAAGTATAAGAATTATAAGGTTTTACTTGAAAACTTACAAGAATATTTAATAAGATGACTTTTGGGGGAAAGATACTCTCTTTTCATCTTTTAATAATTTATTTCCAGAGCTCTCTGTAGTAGTTTTATTTGTAAAATTGGAATGAGGGGATGTTTGTTCAAAAACTATTAATGCTTATGTGTTCATTAGCATATTTTGGGTTGTATGATATCATCCCATTTCTACCTCTTGATTTCTTTCTTAAAAATCACAGAAGTAAACATATACCATATAATTTTTCATGTCATGAATTCTTGGCAGGATTTTACTATTTTTTTCTGGACCTTATTAAGATTTGATTTATTCTAGCTTAAATCCCAAAGTAATTCCCAAATCTGAAACTACTCCCTTTATTTAAGTACTTCCTTTGAGACTGAGGGGGTGTCTGGGAAGGAATCTGAGGTCTGTGGGAGCCTGGCTCCCTTGGACTGTCTTCACTGCTTGATAGTTACATCACCTGGGCAAGCCTCTTCTCTCAGGGTCTCAGTACCTCATCTTCAAAATACACATTTTTATTAGCTGACCTCTAAGTTTCATGCTGTCCTGGAACTCCCTTGACAATGAATTATTAAGTTTGCCGATCTGCAATCTCAGGCTCATGGCATCTGAATTGGACCATAGATAAGGAGTTGAGAACTTAGATGATTAGAAGGGCCAGGGAGGGAACAAAAATGAGGAATGTGGCTTTGCTGAAGTGTAGTAGGGACTACTGGTGACTATGGTAAGCTGCAGGTCCCTGGTCTATTTCAAAACATTCAAGTTCAGATTTTTAAAAATTATGATGCTCAAGTCAAACAAAAGAGCTCTGCATACTGGCTTTGTGAGCTATTTATTTCCAAATTCTGTTTGCATCTGTTTTTTAACTTTTCATAGCAATGAAGAATAAAAGCAAACATAGAGCAATGGATGTGGAGGGAATTTTTTAAAGGTGCCAAAATCAGAATGCCTAGTGTATTTGAAAAGTACAGATAAAACCATTGAGTAGGAACTGGCAAGGTTCTCTATCTTAGGACAAAGAATAGAAGATTTACTTTGAGTATTCCAGTACGCATCAAACCTTTGTGTGTATCCAAATAATCTTATCATCTAGGAGGTTTCTTAAAATACAGTTTCCTGGGTCCTATTTCCTAGAGATTCTGATTCAGCTGCTCTGCTGTGGAGCCCAGGAACCTCTGATTTGTAAACATACTGAAGGGTTCTGATCCAAGTGGTCGGAAGGCTACATTTTGAGAAACACTAAGTCTATGCTCTTCCATTTTAAGATGGGAAATGGGTTCAATGAGGTGAAATGACTTGCCCAGAAATAAAAATATTGACATGTACAGCATCATGCCCCATTTCTGGGCCTAGGAAGACATCGCTAATTAATCATGGCACATGCTAACTTCTCAACCCACTGCTCCTGGAAGCCGTTTCCACCCTGTCTAAGCTGGTCGTTGGTTTAGACTTTGCTGCCTCCTCTGGACTATACCAAGGCCACCTAGCTCACAGGTGATAGAATAAGACTAAAACTCAAAGATCTTTGTGCTTTTGGCAACATCACAATCTCCTTTAAGTGGAGTTTTGCTCACAAGTCCCATTTTTATCCACATTTAATTGCACAGATCCCTCTGTAACAAGGCATGCTGTGAAACAAAATGATTAATAAAAACTCATGGATTTTTAAGTACATTTAATTATTCGCTGTCTTTTGGCTGATGAAAAGAATCTATCAGGCAGTATTCACCATTTCCCCTGGATTATGGCATCCTAGGGAGTATGTTATTCCTTTTAATTTCCAGGAACTTATTCAACTATTAACAGAGTGCAAAGAATAATGCCTCTCCGTGAGTTAAGATTGAATATGACTTGGTTCTAGGATTGACACACAGAAGCTCAAGAGACGGAACCCACTGTATTTCTAAAGCTGGTCTCGCCAAGCCTTGCTGTAGCCACATAGCAAATAAGCAGTGGAGAAAGCCAGATAGTGGAGCTGGAGGCCGCTGTAATTTAGTTCCCACCCTGTGATAAAGCACAAATAGATTAAACCTGTGCAGAGCCAGATGAGTGCACAAGGAATGCTTGCCAATGCAAATAAGACTAAAACAAGAACACATTGTTGGAATTTCTGCAAGTTAGTTGTTAATCAAGTACATCATGGCATATTAGGGCCTTTTAACACATGTTTTTGACATCTGGCCCTGCGCGGCTGACAGTTAAATTGGTTTTGTGATTGACGGAGAAATATTTTGTAGTATTGAATCATCAATAACACTTAAAAACATTATAGTGCTTGTTGATTTTTTTT